GAAACAAATTATATTGTTCATATTGCATTCATGATATAAAAAGAAAGGTGTACCATTGCGCATAGCAATGGCTTTATGAGCGGAGCCAATGAAATTTGAGTCAAAATACACCCGCGCTATTCGAACAAAACGATCATATATGGTTGTGTACGTGTACATATGGTATGTGTACTTAAAATGCAGATATTTAAAAAAAATAAGTATAAAATACTTGAGTAATACAAATGTAATACAAAATTTCTTTTATAATGAGAGAAATAATAACTTATGTAAATTTCTAAATCTCTCTCTCTCTCTCTTTTTCTCTCTCTCTCTTTCTCTGTCTTTCAATATAAGTTAATGTTCCTCTGCACTAATTGGAAAAACTTCGAAATTTCGCGCTGCAGCCATATTACTTTTCATCATTTGGACTCAATTTTTATTGGTCGAGACTGCGCATATGTGATGTTGTTAGGGTGCGTCACATGCGGCGTAACTTGCGTAAGGCCTCGTCTACAATGCGTCGTGTGTTGGGTCATGGCTTGTGGACCGTAAGAATGGGCCAATCACAATCAAATATTCTCTCTACATTCTGTGATTGGCTCGTTCTTGTGACTCACGACCCGACACACAACGCATTGTAGACGAGGCCTAAGCGTAATCTGCGTATTCTAGTATTTTATTAAAATACGTTACGCTATTTTGAAAACCTTCTTTCACATAAAGCGTATTTCGCGGAATTTCGAGAAATGCCTAATTAATACAACCAATTGCTGATTAGGGTTCCTGTTGTACTCTTTAACAGAAATGCTAAACTAATTGTGATTGGTTTTTGTATTTGGAAATCTACATATCGTAATAAGAAGGGAGGGTGTGCGTCACGACGGGGCCCGATCACGAACCAGACTTGTGTGAAGATAGCCCCCCAACATTGAAAAACATAAAGTTTCTACAGCACATTCGATTGCTCATCGTTTGCACATGTATGCACATTTCAAATTTTCGTTTGCACACTTCTAGTAAAAAAGTTATTAACAAAATAAATTTCGGGGGGCCATCTTCACACTAGCCCCCCAACTATGAGTAAATTAAATAAAAAATAGCTCAATTGATAGATATTCGTTTGCACATTGCCAAACAGGTCGATTTTTCATTTGCACACCTCTAGTTAAAAAGTTATTAACAATTAAAGTTTTAGAAGTGAGCGACTTCGGCAGATGAAATAGAAACAAGAATATTGTGCTTAAAATGGTATTATTCGATAGAATTTTGTTTGCACTTTTCCGAGCAGGTCGAATGTTCGTTTGCACACCTTTAGTTAAAAAGTTATTAACAATTAAAGTTTCAGAAGCGAGCGACTTCGGTAGATGAGATAGAAACAAAAATGTTGTGCTTAAAATGGTATCATTCGATAGATAAAATGATATCAATCAAAAAGTTGTGGCATTTCAGTTATTACAAGATATAACGTTTAGGTACAGATATTAAAGATGAGCGAGAACATGCAATAGATTTATGAGAAATAAACAAGAATCGAATATGAATGAAAACGCCAAACGCCGTCGTTTTAAGCACAATATTTTTGTTTTCACCTCATATATCGAACTCGCTCGTTTCTGAAACTTTAATTGTTAATAACTTTTTAACTAGAAGTGTGCAAACGAAAAATCGACCTGTTTGGTAATACAAATGAATATCTATCGATTGGTTCTATTTTGAATCGCGTATCTTCGGAATTCATCCTGAAAACGAATTTTTTTATGTAGAACTGCCGCTTCCCAAGACTTTGTTTGTTAATAACTTTTTAACTAGAGGTGTGCAAACGAAAAATCGACCTGTTTGGCAATGTGCAAACGAATATCTATCAATTGAGCTATTTTTTATTTAATTTACTCATAGTTGGGGGGCTAGCGTGAAGATGGTCCCCCGAAATTTGTTTTGTTAATAACTTTTTTATTAGAAGTGTGCAAATGAAAATTCGAAATGTGCATGTGTGCAAGCGATGAGCAATCGAATGAGCTATAGAAACTTTATGTTTTTCAATGTTGGGGAGTTATCTTCACACAGGTACGAACCAGTCGTGAAAACTCATAATTATTTTGCGAAAAAATACCACCTCAGCCAGGAATCGAACCTGGATCTCCTGCTTACCGGGCAGGCATCTTATCTTTTCGACTACCGAGGCATGTGATGATATTTATCGCAATAACGTGTTTAGAACAACAAGTCAACAATACAATGACATACACACATATACATATATTACAATATATATATATATATTTTCGTAATCTGTGTATCTGGAAAAGTACGCTTCATAGGGAACCGAAATTTTATGTACGAATATGTGTATGAACAAAATGTGAATCTAATCTGTGAGAATGTATTCAGAAGTTATTATAGATCCTGATCTGTT